TGCAAGGAGAGCGGCCCGGGGCCTGCTGACCCTGCTGACCGCGTTGACCGCGTTGACTTGCCTGCCTGTGCAGCGGCAGCAGCGCCTGGTGGCGTGGCAAGCAGCAGTGGCGGTGGCACACAGATAGGGCGCTGTGAGGAGGGCAGTGAGTCTCATGCTCACGCTGTTGACCCGCCTCCCTCCACTCACACCGCTGACACTGCTGACCTCACTCACCCCTCTTACCCTCCTGCCTCCACCACACCCCTCGCCCTCATTCACCCTGCTCACCCTGTGGGCCTTGCTCACCCTACTGATCCCACTGACCCCGTTGACCCAACTGACCCCGTTGACCCCGTTGACCCCGTTGACCCTGTTGACCCTGTTGACCCCACTGACTCGATTGACCCCACTGACGCTATTCAAGCCATCGATGCCATTGACGTCACCCCACCTTGCCTGGCGGCCATGGGCCGGGTGGGGCGCAGCGCAGTGGAGCAGTTTGTGCGGCTGGTGGGCGAGGAGAGGCGCATCCAGGCGTGGATGGAGCAGCGCTCGGCCGTGGTGGCGGTGCTGCCGGGCTGTCAGCAGCGGTGCCGTGCTCGCTGTGCTGCCGCCTGTGCCACCTGGCCGTGGTGGCGTGCTGCTGTGTGTGCGCGACCCCATCTGCCTGCACCATGGTGCGTGCATGCACGCGGGCACGCTTGAGTGCGGCCATGGGCTAGCCACAGGACTGACATGCACCATGCATACATTGCCCCACGTTGTATCCCTCGCCCTCCGCTCTGCACCCGCTGCCACATCCCTCAACCGTTCTCCTTCCACCCCCTTGCTCACCACTACCTCTGCCTTCCCCGCTCACCACTACCTCTGCCTTCCCCGCTCAACCATCTCTTCCCCGCCCCTCCCCTCCCCCTTTCCCTTGCGCCATGCACGTGGCAGCCAGCATCAACCACGCGTGTCGCTGTGGTGCCCTGCGCGTCATCTCGCTGCGCCGCCACACACCCGCCCTCCACCGCCTCGCCCTGCGCCTGCACACCGCTCTCTCTGCCTCCCGCATCGCGCCCCACCGCACTGCACGCCCGCCCCAGGAGCACCCGATGGCAGGGCGCGCAGCAGCGGCAGCGGGCGTGCTGGCAGCGCTGGGAGCAGCGGCACCGGCGCGGTGGGATGAGGACGTGGCGGATATCGAATCACTCTCTAACGAGCATGACCTGGAGGGGTTCCGCGGGGGATTTGAGGGGGAGGGGTGGGTGGTTGGGGGTGGGGGGGGCGGAGGGCAGGGGGCGGACATGAAGAATGGGGAGGCGGAGGAAGCAGGAGGAGGGCGTACTGTGGGAGGAATGGGTGCGGTCATTGAGAGCGGTGGCGAGGGGTTCAGTGACGGCACGCATTGTGGTCGTGACATTGACGACAAGCCATGCAATGATATAGCATGTGGTGACGTGGCATGTGGTGGCAATATGTGGTGTGCACAGGGGAGGGCGAGGAAGCACAGTGTGGTGGCAGTGACTGTGGTGTGAGAGATGGAGGTGGTGAGATGCCATGGGGCAGGCGTGCGTGCCATGATGGCCAGCAACTCAGTGAGCAGCACAGCCGTGCCGCCTGCCCTGCACCACCCTGCTTGCCACCGCCCCACGTGCCTCTGCCACACCCTAGCCAAGCGTGCAAGATGCAGCAGGGTGAAGACATGCGTGGTGAGGGGGAGCAGGTGGCAGCGGTACAGGTCACACAAGGGACCGCCGTGTGTGCTCACCATGCACGCCCAGCAGCTCACGGTGTTGTGAGGGCAGCAGAGGGGCGGGCATGGGAGCAGCGCGGCCAGCGCCCCCCACAAGGGGGCGTGCTGCCTGCCCACCCCGGCCCTCCCCTCTCCCGCTCCCCCGCACGCCCATCCCATGGCACCGGGGGGGGCATGCGGTGCGATTCACAGCAGTGCAGCGCGGCACAGGCACGTGAACGCGAATGCGGGCGCGGAGGAGAAGGTGTGCAGCGAGGGCAGCGCGGCCACATGACAGCGCTGGACGTGCTGCTGCTGCCCGCGCCACCCCCCTCGCTTGCTCCCCCGCCTGCCGCCTCTCTGCTTCACCTCCCCCACCCGCCTTGCTTGCTTCCCCGCCTGCTGCCTCCGCGCCTGCCCCCCACCACCCCCACCTGCACGCCCCGCGCCCTGCTTCCTCCCAGCGCTTCCCGCGCCGCTGTGCTGGCTGAGCGCCGCTCTGCCGTGGCCGCTGATGGCCGTGTGGACGGGCCGTGGGATGGGGGGGGAGGCGGAGTGGGGAGTGGGGGAGAGGGAGAAGGAAAAGGAGTGCATAGGGCGGTGGTGGGAGGGGGAGAAAGAGAGGCAGCGAGTAGTGTGGGCAAGGTGGGCGGGTGTGGTGGGGGGCGGTGGCAGCAGCTGGTAGGGCCGGCGAGGGTGGAGGGGCGCGAGCACGGTGGGGGGGAAGAGGAGGAGGGGCAGAGCGAGGCAGACGAGGGAAGGGTTGTTGAGCAGCGGCAGGGAGGGCGGGCGACGGGGGAGGAGGAGGGTTGGATGGCGATCATGAGGTGGAGCAAAACGAGGATGCCTTTGGGGCGGTGGGGGCGTTGTCACAGCAGCAGCAGGAGGCGGGGGGGGATTTGAGGAGGGAGGATGGGAAGGGGAAGGATGGAGGGGGGGAAGGTACAGTGGGTGAGCAGATGGCGTGCAGTGGCCGGCAAAGCGTGGGTGAAGAGAGGTGCTGGGAGGGAGGAAGCGGTGAAGAGCGGTGCTGTGGGGAGATGGGATTGGGATGCAGCAGCAGCGGGGGGCGGAGTGGGTGTGATGGGAGACAGGTGGGGAGCAGCGATGGGGCAGCGCTGGCAGGGGTGGTGGATGGGGGCGATGCCATGGTGCCGTCAGCAGGGAGGCGATTAGAGAAAGACATGGCGATGTGTGTGAGACGGCGGACGGGGAAGGGCGCTGGGGACGAGTGGAGGGCGAGGGGGAAGGAGGGGAGGGAGGAGGGGAGGGAAGAGGGGAGGGAGGACAGGAGGAGATTGGAATGAAAGGAGGAGCGGAGGATAGAAGGGGGGAGGAAAGGAGAAGCAAGGGAAGCATTCAGAAGAGGAAAAAGGGAAGAAAAGAGGAGAGGTAGGAGAGGAGGAAGGAAGAGGGAAGAGGAGAGGAGGAAGGCGGGGAGGGACAAAGGAGGGAAGAGAGGAGGGAAGGGAAGAAGGAGGGGAGGTAGGAGAGGAGGAAAGGAGGGAGGAAAGTGGGGAGGAGAGAATAAGGGTAGGAGAGGAGGAAGAAGGGGAAGCCAGACAGGAGGAGAGTGGGGAGGGACAAAGGGAGGGAAGAGAAAAGGAAAGTGATGGAAGAAGGGATGGAGGAGAGGAGGAAGAAGGGAAGGACGGAGAGGAGGAAAGAGGGGAGGAAAGAGGAGAGGAAAGAAGGGGGGAAAGTGGGGAGGAAAGAGGGGAGGACGGAAAGGAGCAAAGTGGGGACGAAAGTGGGGAGGAAAGTGGGGAGGAAAATGGGGAAGAAAGTGGGGAGGGGCATGGGGAGGGAAGAGGGGAGGGAGGAGTGGAGGAAGGAGGGGATGAAGGGGAGGAGGTTAGAGGGAAGGAAAAGAGGGAAGGACGGAGAGGAGGGAAGCGAGGGAAAAGGCATGGATGAAGGGAGAGAGGGAGGAACAGAGAAAGGGAGAGTGGGAGGAACAGAGAAAGGGAGAGAGGGAGGAACAGAGAAAGGGAGAGAGGGAGGAGTGAAGGTGCGAGGGGATGGAGGTGAAGGGGAAGGTGAGTGGGGAGGTGAGGAGGAAAGAGGTGAGGGGGGAGGGGAGGGCGTGGAAGGGGCGGTGCGTGCAGGCAGGGGTGGAAGGGCGGGTGGGGGTGTGAGGGGGGTGGTGGCGCCTGCAATGGCGTGCGCAGGGTAGATGGAGGAAGCGGCGAGTGGCGTGGCGAGTGGATGCGCGTGGGGAGAGGGCACTAGATGCGAGTGAGGTGGGGTGCGCACCATGTGATGCATCATCAGGTGAGCGGCGGTAGCAGCAGCAGCGGGTGCAGGGGGGGGAGGTGATAGTGGCGGGGATGTGCGTCGACACCACTGCCAACCATCTGCACCTCTTCTTCCTCTCCATGCCCTTGCTTCTGCCACCCCTCATGCTCATGCTCACGCTGCTGCTGCTCATGCTGCTCACGTTGATGCTGCTGCTGATGCTGATGCTGATGCTGATGCTGGTTCTGATGCTGATGCTGATGCTGGTGTGGTGCTGATGCTGATGCTGGTGGTGGTGCTGATGCGGATGCTGGTGGTGGCACTGACGCTGGTGGAGGCACTGAAGCGGGCAGTGGTGGTGTGTGTGCTGTGCGAGGGAGGATGTTGCCAAGCCGCTGGGCTCCCAGGAAGGGCGCTGGGCAGGATGGTGGGGCAGGAGGGGCAGCAGGAGGGCAGCAGGAGGGGCAGCAGGAGGGGCAGCAGCGGTGCAGCGGAGGGGCGAGCAGGCGGCGGCGGCGGCAGCTGTGGATGGTGTGGGACGGCGGGCGGCGCCGCAAGAAGAGCCGCTCCACTCAGGGGGGACCATTGCCAGGCGCTGCTGCTGGCGCTGCTGCCCCCTCGCCCCGTGCTCATGGCAGCGCTGCTGCCCCACGTGGTGGCGGTGGGTGTGCTGGCAGCACCAGCAGTGGCAGTGCGAACAGCAGCGGTGACGAGTGGCGCTGGGCGTGGGAGAGCAAGGGGCGGAGGAGCAGGCGGGGCAGGCGAGACGTGGGGCACTTGTTGACACGAGGGGAGAAGGGGGAACGGCGGTAGGAGCGAGGGGGGAGAAGAGGAGGCGGAGGATGAGAGGGGAGGGTGGAGGCGGGCATGGCGGCAGCAGTGAGTCCGGTGAAGCAGAGGCGGTTGGTGGAGGTGAGTGGAGGGGGCGGCAGTGCAAGGGCGTTGAGAGAGGGGAGGGGTGTTGCGGGGAGCATGGAAGGAGTGGGCATGGGAGGTGGGGGCTCACGAGCGCACGCATGGCATGCAAGCGAAGGCGGGTCGAGGTGCGAGAGTGGCGAGGTCTCTTTGGTGGAAAGCAGCGCGGTGAAGAGCGGTGCCGCGCGCAAGCTGTTAGAGCCATTGGCGGGCCGTGGGCAGGGCGGGGAAGGCGGCCCAATTGGAGGAGGGAGGGGTGGGGGTGGGGGCGGAGGGCACCTGTGGGAGAAGGGCTTCTGGCAGCTCGTGGTGCGGCAGCGCCGCACGTGGCAGTACCGCCTATCCAGCCCCTGGCGCTTACGACTGACACAAGGTCAAGGCTACACAAAGCAAGTCATTTTTGCTTTCAGCAGATACCCTAGAAAGTGGGAGCCTTGGAATGCTGTTAGTTTACTTAGCAGTAGTTTCAGATGTACATTCACTAATCTCCTATGTTATGCTCTCCCTGCCTAAATCGGAGGCGAGCCAAGAAGGCGTACGAACGAAAGGCTTTCCATTCCCAACTTCGTGGAGCCCACAAAACCTGGAAGCAAAACAGCCTCTCCACAATCAACAGCCGCCTCACTGGGCGTAAGGGCATGCTTTGCCAACCTTGGCAGCCAACTGTGCGCCGACGTGACACAATCGAGAGCTGCACGTGCCTCGCCACGCGCACCTCGATATTCCACCCCTCGATTGCTTCCGCGGCCTCCCCACCTTCTCTACCCCACCACGCCCGCCACCACGCGATGTCTGTGCGTCTCTCAGCTCCGCCACCCACCCACACACGCCTCACCGCTCCACTCGTTGCGTGCCCCTTCCTCGCCACCGCCACCAAATCGCTTCGCCACATAAGCGCGGCGTCAGCCTTCCTCGCGCGCCCCGAATCTGCTTGAACCCCGCTTGCACGGAGCTCGCTGCGTGCTGCCCGCGTGCTCGCGCCGTTCTCGATTCCTCATTCGCTCTCCCCCCAACGCGTGCTCGCCTCGCGTGCGATCAGCTCTTCCCCTTCCGACCGGCTTGCGGCGCCCGTGCGGATCGCGATCGCGCGGAATGGGGGAGGGAGGCGGAAGCGGGGAGGTAGTGTGTGGACGGGAAGCGGATGTACGTACCCGTTTATGGCATCCTCGCTAGCAGCGCCATGTCCGCGTGCTTCGCCGAGGTGAGATCCGCGGCGTCTCTCGCCGCTCTGCCTCCCTCCGCCGCCTCGCAAACTCCCTCTTTGCGCGTTCCCGATTCCCGTCGCCCCCGCGTGACCTCCTTTCTCGTGGCCTGCGCTGGGGTGACGCGCGTCTCGGGTAGCCAGCAGCCGCGTGGGCCATTGCACCGCCCGTCCTCTCCTCTTCCCCGTTCCCCCCGCGACCACCCCCCCCCCTTCCCCTGCGCGCAGTTCTGCACGCTGCCCATCGACACGGCCAAGGTGCGCCTGCAGCTGCAGGGCAAGCCGTCGGCGGGAGCGGGCGGAGCAGCGGGCGCAGTGAAGTACCGCGGGATGGTGGGGACGATGGGGACGATCGCGCGCGAGGAGGGGCTGTCGGCGTTGTGGAAGGGGCTCGTGCCGGGGCTGCACCGCCAGTGCGTCTATGGCGGCCTGCGCATCGGCCTCTACGACCCCGTGAGTCACCCTCCATGCGCCCTCTACCACCCCGTGAGCCTCCATGCGCCCTCTACCACCCCGTGAGCCTCCATGCGCCCCTCCACCACCCCGTGAGCCTCCATGCGCCCTCTACGACCCCGTGAGTGTGCTGCAGTGCTGCAGTGCGGTGGCAAGGTGGCAGAGGCGGCGCCCATGGCAGGGTGCGGTGGTGGGCAGGGTGCGGTGGGTGGGCAGGGTGCGGTGGTGGGCAGGGTGCGGTGGAAGGGGCTGTGATGAGCGCCGACTTGCCACTTATGTTCAAGCTTCTCTGCTCCTTGTGCTCCCATGCCCACTGCTCCCTGCCCCCTGCCCTGTGCCCCGTGCCCTGTGCCCCCTGCCCTGTGCCCCCTGCCCTGTGCCCACTGCTCCCTGCCCCCTGCCCTGTGCCCCCGTGCCCTGTGGCCCCCTGCCCTGTGCTCCCCTGCCCTGTGCCCCGTGCCCTGTGCCCCGTGCCCTGTGCCCCCTGCCCTGTGCCCACTGCTCCCTGCCCCCTGCCCTGTGCCCCGTGCCCTGTGCCCCCTGCCCTGTGCCCCGTGCCCTGTGCCCCCTGCCCTGTGCCCCGTGCCCTGTGCCCCCTGCCCTGTGCCCCCTGCCCTGTGCCCACTGCTCCCTGCCCCCTGCCCTGTGCCCCCGTGCCCTGTGCCCCCTGCCCTGTGCCCCCTGCCCTGTGCCCCGTGCCCTGTGCCCCGTGCCCTGTGCCCCCTGCCCTGTGCCCACTGCTCCCCCTCCCCCCTGCCCTGTGCCCCGTGCCCTGTGCCCCCTGCCCTGTGCCCTGCTGTGCCCCGTGCTGCCCTGTGCCCCGTGCCCTGTGCCCCCTGCCCTGTGCCCCCCTGCCCTGTGCCCCGTGCCCTGTGCCCCCTGCCCTGTGCCCCCTGCCCTGTGCCCCGTGCCCTGTGCCCCCTGCCCTGTGCCCCCTGCCCTGTGCCCCCTGCCCTGTGCCCCCTGCCCTGTGCGCCCTGCCCTGTGCCCCCTACCCTGTGCCCCCTGCCCTGTGCGCCCTGCCCGTGGCATGTGCGTGGTGGGGCGGACAGGTGAAGGCGCTGTTCGTGGGCAAGGACCCACACGGGCGACGTGCCTCTCACCGTCAAGATCGCCGCCGGCCCTCACCACAGGTGCCGTGTCATGGCCCCCTGCTCCCTCCCACCACCCCACCCGTGCTGCCCTGCTCGCACCCGTGCTAGACTGTGCTCATCCATTGCTCGTTCGCACATGCTATGCTCGTTTCTCTGATCATTCCAACCCAACAACCGCCTCCCTTCAAGCGCCCTCACTCTCTCCTCACCATGCACCATGCGCCATGCGCCATGCACCATGCACGATGCACCATGCACCATGCACCATGGCACAGGGGCGGTGGGCATATCAATCGCCAACCCCACGGATCTGGTGAAGGTGCGCCTGCAGTCGGAGGGGCGTCTGGCGCCCGGCACGCCCAAGCGCTACTCCGGTGCTCTCAACGCCTACGCCACCATCGCCCGCCAGGTGAGCAGCTGACGGGATGGCAGGTGGAGTGGAGGGGTTTTCCTTCCTCGCATGCGTCCCTCGAGCTCTTCCCTTCCCCTCCATTCTCAATTCCACCACTCTTCACGCTTCCCAGTCTCCGCATTTTGCCGTTGTCCCTCTTCCTTTTTTGCAATAATGGGAAAGAGAAATGCAACTGCTACTTTCAACACTTCAAACTCTAAACCTCAAATGACGTTATCTTGATGACATTCTAGGGACACAGGTATTTCTAAGACACGAAGTCGAAAGCTAGTCATGGGCCTTTGAACGCTCACTTCTCACGGCTGCTGGCATGGCATGGCATGGCATGGCAGGAGGGCGTGGCGGCGCTGTGGACGGGTGTGGGGCCCAACATCGCACGCAACGCCATCATCAACGCCGCTGAGCTCGCCAGCCTATGACCAGATCAAACAGGTGTGGCAGGACGTGCGCTGCACTGCTCCTCACATGCGCTGCACTGCTCCTCACATGCGCTGCACTGCCTCCTCACATGCGCTGCACTGCTCCTCACATGCGCTGCACTGCTCCTCAATGCGCTGCACTGCTCCTCACATGCGCTGCACTGCTCCTCACATGTGCTGCACTGCCCACATGCGCTGATCACTTCAAAATCTCTCTCTCATCTCTATCCGTCGTTGCCCCTCCCCTCCCTGCCCTCGCCCTGACCTGCCCTGCACCCGCCAGTCGCTGCTCAAGGTACCGGGCTTCGGGGACAACGTGGGGACGGCACCTCATCGCTGTGGCTCGGCGCGGCTTCTTCGCCGTTCTGCATCGGCTCGCCCGTCGATGTGGTCCGTGCCGCCGCAGCCTGCCCACACACCTGCCGCACACCGCTCCCTTGTTCGCTCATGCACATCCCTCTCAACCGCACCCCTCTCTCAGCGCTCTCTCATTTTGAACACCCCTTCCCCACACTCCGTTCCCCCTTCCCCTCACTCCTCTCCCATTCCCCACGCCCCCCCCCCCCCCCCCCACCCCCCCCCTTTCCCCACACTCCCCACCCCCTTCTTCACACCTTCACCCCCCCCCCCCCTCCCACACTCCGCGCCGTGCCTTCACCTCCCCCTCATTGTCCAACTCCCGAGTCCCGGTTTTCTCTCTCACTGCTTTGCCCGTTCATCTCACTCCGCACTCTTGCCTCTCTTCCTCGCCCCTCTCCTCCTGCTGTCTACCACCCCTGCCCTGCCTCTTGTGCCACTTGCATACCAGGTGCAGGCACGGTGAGAGCACGTGGCAGTGCCAGCCTGCCACGGTGAGAGCACGTGGCAGTGCCAGACTGCCAGCCTGCCAGCCTGCCAGCCTGCCAGCCTGCCAGGGGCCGCTGCTCTTCTCAACCCTTCACGTCCCTCTCCCACACCCAACCCCTTTGCACTCCCCCCCTTTCCCTGCCTCCTTTCCCCCACCCCCTCCCTCCCTCGGCGGGCGAGCAGGTGAAGTCGAGGGTGATGGGCGACAGCAGCGGGCAGTACAAGGGCACGCTCGACTGCTTCCTCAAGACCTTCCGCAACGACGTGCGTGCCCCTTCCCTGCCACCCCTGCTGCTCGCAGCTATCTAGTCCGATTGGGTGCATGGGAGTTGTGTCGCTTGCCTTGCTCCTGTGCTGCTGCCCGTACAGCTTCTCTCATTGGCATGATCTCTCCATCCATGTGCTCATTCAACTGCTCCATCCATGTGCTCATTCAACTGCTCCATCCATGTGCTCATTCAACTGCTCCATCCATGTGCTTTTAGTGCAAGCGCGCACCAGGTGAGCGGGCTGCAGTGCCACCAGGTGAGCGGGCTGCAGGGCCACGGCCCACTGTGGGCGGAGGCAGTGACGCCGTGTGGTACGTGGGGTGGGTGGGCGCGCCCAAGGGCTGCCTGGCGCCACTGTCCGCCAGGGGCGCTGGGAGCAGAGTGGTGTGATGGAAGGGGCATGCGCATGTGTCAACGCTGCATGGGAAGTCGCGTCGCCTGCGTAGGTGGCTTTGCTGTGGTAGTGCTTGCTGCTCCCGCCTGCCGCATCTCTTGCCGCCCGCCCCATGCCATGGTGGCGCGTGGGTGTTGGGAGCTGATGGCGTCCCCCCCTCTCCATGCACAGCTGATGGCGTCCCCCCCTCTCCATGCACAGCTGATGGCGTCCCCCCTCTCCATGCACAGCTGATGGCGTCCCCCCTCTCCATGCACAGCTGATGGCGTCCCCCCTCTCCATGCACAGCTGATGGCGTCCCCCCTCTCCATGCACAGCTGATGGCGTCCCCCCTCTCCATGCACAGCTGATGGCGTCCCCCCTCTCCATGCACAGCTGATGGCGTCCCCCCTCTCCATGCACAGCTGATGGCGTCCCCCCTCTCCATGCACAGCTGATGGCGTCCCCCCTGTGCATGTACAGCCTCTCTCATGCGCATGTGCGCAGCGATGGGCGGTGGTGATGGCAGCGGGCGTTCATGGTCGTGGCTGCCACTCAGGAGTGGAGGCAGGCTGAGAGGCACTAGAGTGGCGAACAAAGACGATCCGCATGGATGAACCCGGAAGCGCGAGCCCCTCTCAACCCGCAAGTTGCTTGCTCTTGCATGTCTCCGCGTCTGCTTGGTGGCGTGCCAGCTGTCTCAACGGCACAAGTCCATGCAGACTCTCATGCAACCATTACTCTTGTGGGAGTGCCATGAGCTGTCGTGCGAGTGGCATGTAGCACGTGCAGGCTGTAGCACGTGCAGGCTGTAGCACGTGCAGTACTCTCCAATGCCAACGACGGTATGCTGCACCTGGTCCCTCTCTTGCCACATCCTCTCCCCTCTCCCCTCACAACTCCCTCCCCCCCTTCCCCTCCCCTCCCCCCCCTCCCCCCCTCCCCCCCCACAGGGCGTGATGGCGTTCTACAAGGGCTTCATCCCCAACTTCGGCCGCCTGGGCTCCTGGAATGTCATCATGTTCCTCACGCTCGAGCAGGTGCGTTCCGCCCTCACGCTCGAGCAGGTGCGTTCCGCCCTCACGCTCGAGCAGGTGCGTTCCGCCCTCACGCTCGAGCAGGTGCGTTCCGCCCTCACGCTCGAGCAGGTGCGTTCCGCCCTCACGCTCGAGCAGGTGCGTTCCGCCCTCACGCTCGAGCAGGTGCGTTCCGCCCTCACGCTCGAGCAGGTGCGTTCCGCCCTCACGCTCGAGCAGGTGCGTTCCGCCCTCACGCTCGAGCAGGTGCGTTCCGCCCTCACGCTCGAGCAGGTGCGTTCCGCCCTCACGCTCGAGCAGGTGCGTTCCGCCCTCACGCTCGAGCAGGTGCGTTCCGCCCTCACGCTCGAGCAGGTGCGTTCCGCCCTCACGCTCGAGCAGGTGCGTTCCGCCCTCACGCTCGAGCAGGTGCGTTCCGCCCTCACGCTCGAGCAGGTGCGTTCCGCCCTCACGCTCGAGCAGGTGCGTTCCGCCCTCACGCTCGAGCAGGGTGCGTTCCGCCCTCACGCTCGAGCAGGTGCGTTTCCGCCCTCACGCTCGAGCAGGTGCGTTCCGCCCTCACGCTCGAGCAGGTGCGTTCCGCCCTCACGCTCGAGCAGGTGCGTTCCGCCCTCACGCTCGAGCAGGTGCGTTCCGCCCTCACGCTCGAGCAGGTTGCGTTCCGCCCCCTCACGCTCGAGCAGGTGCGTTCCGCCCTCACGCTCGAGCAGGTGCGTTCCGCCCTCACGCTCGAGCAGGTGCGTTCCGCCCTCACGCTCGAGCAGGTGCGTTCCGCCCTCACGCTCGAGCAGGTGCGTTCCGCCCTCACGCTCGAGCAGGTGCGTTCCGCCCTCACGCTCGAGCAGTGTGCGTTCCGCCCTCACGCTCGAGCAGGTGCGTTCCGCCCTCACGCTCGAGCAGGTGCGTTCCGCCCTCACGCTCGAGCAGGTGCGTTCCGCCCTCACGCTCGAGCAGGTGCGTTCCGCCCTCACGCTCGAGCAGGTGCGTTCCGCCCTCACGCTCGAGCAGGTGCGTTCCGCCCCTCACGCTCGAGCAGGTGCGTTCCGCCCTCACGCTCGAGCAGGTGCGTTCCGCCCCTCACGCTCGAGCAGGTGCGTTCCGCCCTCACGCTCGAGCAGGTGCGTTCCGCCCTCACGCTCGAGCAGGTGCGTTCCGCCCTCACGCTCGAGCAGGTGCGTTCCGCCCTCACGCTCGAGCAGGTGCGTTCCGCCCTCACGCTCGAGCAGGTGCGTTCCGCCCTCACGCTCGAGCAGGTGCGTTCCCGCCCTCACGCCTCGAGCAGGTGCGTTCCGCCCTCACGCTCGAGCAGGTGCGTTCCGCCCTCACGCTCGAGCAGGTGCGTTCCGCCCTCACGCTCGAGCAGGTGCGTTCCGCCCTCACGCTCGAAGCAGTTCCAAAACTCGGCAGGTGCGTTCCGCCCTCACGCTCGAGCAGGTGCGTTCCGCCCTCACGCTCGAGCAGGTGCGTTCCGGCCCTCACGCTCGAGCAGGTGCGTTCCGCCCTCACGCTCGAGCAGGTGCGTTCCGCCCTCACGCTCGAGCAGGTGGTTCCGCCCTCACGCTCGAGCAGGTGCGTTCCGCCCTCACGCTCGAGCAGGTGCGTTCCGCCCTCACGCTCGAGCAGGTGCGTTCCGCCCTCACGCTCGAGCAGGTGCGTTCCGCCCTCAGCTCGCGCAGGTGCGTTCCGCCCTCACGCTCGAGCAGGTGCGTTCCGCCCTCACGCTCGAGCAGGTGCGGTTCCGCCCTCACGCTCGAGCAGGTGCGTTCCGCCCTCACGCTCGAGCAGGTGCGTTCCGCCCTCACGCGAGCAGGTGCGTTCCGCCCTCACGCTCGAGCAGGTGCGTCCGCCCTCACGCTCGATGCAGGTGCGTTCCGCCTCACGCTCGAGCAGGTGCGTTCCGCCCTCACGCCGAGCAGGTGCGTTCCGCCCTCACGCTCGAGCAGGTGCGTTCCGCCCTCACGCTCGAGCAGGTGCGTTCCGCCCTCACGCTCGAGCAGGTGCGTTCCGCCCTCACGCTCGAGCAGGTGCGTTCCGCCCTCACGCTCGAGCAGGTGCGTTCCGCCCTCACGCTCGAGCAGGTGCGTTCCGCCCTCACGCTCGAGCAGGTGCGTTCCGCCCTCACGCTCGAGCAGGTGCGTTCCGCCCTCACGCTCGAGCAGGTGCGTTCCGCCCTCACGCTCGAGCAGGTGCGTTCCGCCCTCACGCTCGAGCAGGTGCGTTCCGCCCTCACGCTCGAGCAGGTGCGTTCCGCCCTCACGCTCGAGCAGGTGCGTTCCGCCCTCACGCTCGAGCAGGTGCGTTCCGCCCTCACGCTCGAGCAGGTGCGTTCCGCCCTCACGCTCGAGCAGGTGCGTTCCGCCCTCACGCTCGAGCAGGTGCGTTCCGCCCTCACGCTCGAGCAGGTGCGTTCCGCCCTCACGCTCGAGCAGGTGCGTTCCGCCCTCACGCTCGAGCAGGTGCGTTCCGCCCTCACGCTCGAGCAGGTGCGTTCCGCCCTCACGCTCGAGCAGGTGCGTTCCGCCCTCACGCTCGAGCAGGTGCGTTCCGCCCTCACGCTCGAGCAGGTGCGTTCCGCCCTCACGCTCGAGCAGGTGCGTTCCGCCCTCACGCTCGAGCAGGTGCGTTCCGCCCTCACGCTCGAGCAGGTGCGTTCCGCCCTCACGCTCGAGCAGGTGCGTTCCGCCCTCACGCTCGAGCAGGTGCGTTCCGCCCTCACGCTCGAGCAGGTGCGTTCCGCCCTCACGCTCGAGCAGGTGCGTTCCGCCCTCACGCTCGAGCAGGTGCGTTCCGCCCTCACGCTCGAGCAGGTGCGTTCCGCCCTCACGCTCGAGCAGGTGCGTTCCGCCCTCACGCTCGAGCAGGTGCGTTCCGCCCTCACGCTCGAGCAGGTGCGTTCCGCCTCCGTCGAGCAGGCGTCGCCCTCACGCCGAGGTGCGTTCCGCCCTCACGCTCGAGCAGGGTGCGTTCCGCCCTCACGCTCGAGCAGGTGCGTTCGCCCTCACGCTCGAGCAGGGTGCGTTCCGCCCTCACGCTCGAGCAGGTGCGTTCCGCCCTCACGCTCGAGCAGGTGCGTTCCGCCCTCACGCTCGAGCAGGTGCGTTCCGCCCTCACGCTCGAGCAGGTGCGTTCCGCCCTCACGCTCGAGCAGGTGCGTTCCGCCCTCACGCTCGAGCAGGTGCGTTCCGCCCTCACGCTCGAGCAGGTGCGTTCCGCCCTCACGCTCGAGCAGGTGCGTTCCGCCCTCACGGCTCGAGCAGGTGCGTTCCGCCCTCACGCTCGAGCAGGTGCGTTCCGCCCTCACGCTCGAGCAGGTGCGTTCCGCCCTCACGCTCGAGCAGGTGCGTTCCGCCCTCACGCTCGAGCAGGTGCGTTCCGCCCTCACGCTCGAGCAGGTGCGTTCCGCCCTCACGCTCGAGCAGGTGCGTTCCGCCCTCACGCTCGAGCAGGTGCGTTCCGCCCTCACGGCTCGGGCTCGAGCAGGTGCGTTCGCCCTCACGCTCGAGCAGGTGCGTTCCGCCCTCACGCTCGAGCAGGTGCGTTCCGCCCTCACGCTCGAGCAGGTGCGTTCCGCCCTCCACGCTCGAGCAGGTGCGTTCCGCCCTCACGCTCGAGCAGGTGCGTTCCGCCCTCACGCTCGAGCAGGTGCGTTCCGCCCTCACGCTCGAGCAGGTGCGTTCCGCCCTCACGCTCGAGCAGGTGCGTTCCGCCCTCACGCTCGAGCAGGTGCGTTCCGCCCCTCACGCTCGAGCAGGTGCGTTCCGCCCTCACGCTCGAGCAGGTGCGTTCCGCCCTCACGCTCGAGCAGGTGCGTTCCGCCCTCACGATCGGAGCAGGTGCGTTCCGCCCTCACGCTCGAGCAGGTGCGTTCCGCCCTCACGCTCGAGCAGGTGCGTTCCGCCCTCACGCTCGAGCAGGTGCGTTCCGCTCGAGCAGGTGCGTTCCGCCCTCACGCTCGAGCAGGTGCGTTCCGCCCTCACGCTCGAGCAGGTGCGTTCCGCCCTCACGCTCGAGCAGGTGCGTTCCGCCCTCACGCTCGAGCAGGTGCGTTCCGCCCTCACGCTCGAGCAGGTGCGTTCCGCCCTCACGCTCGAGCAGGTGCGTTCCGCCCTCACGCTCGAGCAGGTGCGTCGCCCTCACGCTCGAGCAGGTGCGTTCCGCCCTCACGCTCGAGCAGGTGCGTTCCGCCCTCACGCTCGAGCAGGTGCGTTCCGCCCTCACGCTCGAGCAGGTGCGTTCCGCCCTCACGCTCGAGCAGGTGCGTTCCGCCCTCACGCTCGAGCAGGTGCGTTCCGCCCTCACGCTCGAGCAGGTGCGTTCCGCCCTCACGCTCGAGCAGGTGCGTTCCGCCCTCACGCTCGAGCAGGTGCGTTCCGCCCTCACGCTCGAGCAGGTGCGTTCCGCCCTCACGCTCGAGCAGGTGCGTTCCGCCCTCACGCCTCGAGCAGGTGCGTTCCGCCCTCACGCTCGAGCAGGTGCGTTCCGCCCTCACGCTCGAGCAGGTGCGTTCCGCCCTCACGCTCGAGCAGGTGCGTTCCGCCCTCACGCTCGAGCAGGTGCGTTCCGCCCTCACGCTCGAGCAGGTGCGTTCCGCCCTCACGCTCGAGCAGGTGCGTTCCGCCCCCCTCACGCTCGAGCAGGTGCGTTCCGCCCTCACGCTCGAGCAGGTGCGTTCCGCCCTCACGCTCGAGCAGGTGCGTTCCGCCCTCACGCTCGAGCAGGTGCGTTCCGCCCTCACGCTCGAGCAGGTGCGTTCCGCCCTCACGCTCGAGCAGGTGCGTTCCGCCCTCACGCTCGAGCAGGTGCGTTCCGCCCTCACGCTCGAGCAGGTGCGTTCCGCCCTCACGCTCGAGCAGGTGCGTTCCGCCCTCACGCTCGAGCAGGTGCGTTCCGCCCTCACGCTCGAGCAGGTGCGTTCCGCCCTCACGCTCGAGCAGGTGCGTTCCGCCCTCACGCTCGAGCAGGTGCGTTCCGCCCTCACGCTCGAGCAGGTGCGTTCCGCCTCACGCTCGAGCAGGTGCGTTCCGCCCTCACGCTCGAGCAGGTGCGTTCCGCCCTCACGCTCGAGCAGGTGCGTTCCGCCCTCACGCTCGAGCAGGTGCGTCCGCCCTCACGCTCGAGCAGGTGCGTTCCGCCCTCACGCTCGAGCAGGTGCGTTCCGCCCTCACGCTCGAGCAGGTGCGTTCCGCCCTCACGCTCGAGCAGGTGCGTTCCGCCCTCACGCTCGAGCAGGTGCGTTCCGCCCTCACGCCTCGAGCAGGTGCGTTCCGCCCTCACGCTCGAGCAGGTGCGTTCCGCCCTCACGCTCGAGCAGGTGCGTTCCGCCCTCACGCCTCGAGCAGGTGCGTTCCGCCCTCACGCTCGAGCAGGTGCGTTCCGCCCTCACGCTCGAGCAGGTGCGTTCCGCCCTCACGCTCGAGCAGGTGCGTTCCGCCCTCACGCTCGAGCAGGTGCGTTCCGCCCTCACGCTCGAGCAGGTGCGTTCCGCCCTCACGCTCGAGCAGGTGCGTTCCGCCCTCACACTCGAGCAGGTGCGTTCCGCCCTCACGCTCGAGCAGGTGCGTTCCGCCCTCACGCTCGAGCAGGTGCGTTCCGCCCTCACGCTCGAGCAGGTGCGTTCCGCCCTCACGCTCGATCCCCCTCGAGCAGGTGCGTTCCGCCCTCACGCTCGAGCAGGTGCGTTCCGCCCTCACGCTCGAGCAGGTGCGTTCCGCCCTCACGCTCGAGCAGGTGCGTTCCGCCCTCACGCTCGAGCAGGTGCGTTCCGCCCTCACGGCTCGAGCAGGTGCGTTCCGCCCTCACGCTCGAGCAGGTGCGTTCCGCCCTCACGCTCGAGCAGGTGCGTTCCGCCCTCACGCTCGAGCAGGTGCGTTCCGCCCTCACGCTCGAGCAGGTGCGTTCCGCCCTCACGCTCGAGCAGGTGCGTTCCGCCCTCACGCTCGAGCAGGTGCGTTCCGCCCTCACGCTCGAGCAGGTGCGTTCCGCCCTCACGCTCGAGCAGGTGCGTTCCGCCCTCACGCTCGAGCAGGTGCGTTCCGCCCTCACGCTCGAGCAGGTGCGTTCCGCCCTCACGCTCGAGCAGGTGCGTGTCCGCCCTCACGCTCGAGCAGGTGCGTTCCGCCCTCACGCTCGAGCAGGTGCGTTCCGCCCTCACGGCTCGAGCAGGTGCGTTCCGCCCTCACGCTCGAGCAGGTGCGTCAGCCCTCACGCTCGAGCAGGTGCGTTCCGCCCTCACGCTCGAGCAGGTGCGTTCCGCCCTCACGCTCGAGCAGGTGCGTTCCGCCCTCACGCTCGAGCAGGTGCGTTCCGCCCTCACGCTCGAGCAGGTGCGTTTCCGCCCTCACGCTCGAGCAGGTGCGTTCCGCCCTCACGCTCGAGCAGGTGCGTTCCGCCCTCACGCTCGAGCAGGTGCGTTCCGCCCTCACGCTCGAGCAGGTGCGTTCCGCCCTCACGCTCGAGCAGGTGCGTTCCGCCCTCACGCTCGAGCAGGTGCGTTCCGCCCTCACGCTCGAGCAGGTGCGTTCCGCCCTCACGCTCGAGCAGGTGCGTTCCGCCCTCACGCTCGAGCAGGTGCGTTCCGCCCTCACGCTCGAGCAGGTGCGTTCCGCCCTCACGCTCGAGCAGGTGCGTTCCGCCCTCACGCTCGAGCAGGGTGCGTTCCGCCCTCACGCTCGAGCAGGTGCGTTCCGCCCTCACGCTCGAGCAGGTGCGTTCCGCCCTCACGCTCGAGCAGGTGCGTTCCGCCCTCACGCTCGAGCAGGTGCGTTCCGCCCTCACGCTCGAGCAGGTGCGTTCCGCCCTCACGCTCGAGCAGGTGCGTTCCGCCCTCACGCTCGAGCAGGTGCGTTCCGCCCTCACGCTCGAGCAGGTGCGTTCCGCCCTCACGCTCGAGCAGGTGCGTTCCGCCCTCACGCTCGAGCAGGTGCGTTCCGCCCTCACGCTCGAGCAGGTGCGTTCCGCCCTCACGCTCGAGCAGGTGCGTTCCGCCCTCACGCTCGAGCAGGTGCGTTCCGCCCTCACGCTCGAGCAGGTGCGTTCCGCCCCTCACGCTCGAGCAGGGTGCGTTCCGCCCTCACGCTCGAGCAGGTGCGTTCCGCCCTCACGCTCGAGCAGGTGCGTTCCGCCCTCACGCTCGAGCAGGTGCGTTCCGCCCTCACCGCTCGAGCAGGTGCGTTCCGCCCTCACGCTCGAGCAGGTGCGTTCCGCCCTCACGCTCGAGCAGGTGCGTTCCGCCCTCACGCTCGAGCAGGTGCGTTCCGCCCTCACGCTCGAGCAGGTGCGTTCCGCCCTCACGCTCGAGCAGGTGCGTTCCGCCCTCACGCTCGAGCAGGTGCGTTCCGCCCTCACGCTCGAGCAGGTGCGTTCCGCCCTCACGCTCGAGCAGGTGCGTTCCGCCCTCACGCTCGAGCAGGTGCGTTCCGCCCTCACGCTCGAGCAGGTGCGTTCCGCCCTCACGCTCAGAGCAGGTGCGTTCCGCCCTCACCTCGAGCAGGTGCGTTCCGCCCTCACGCTCGAGCAGGTGCGTTCCGCCCTCACGCTCGAGCAGGTGCGTTCCGCCCTCACGCTCGAGCAGGTGCGTTCCGCCCTCACGCTCGAGCAGGTGCGTTCCGCCCTCACGCTCGAGCAGGTGCGTTCCGCCCTCACGCTCGAGCAGGTGCGTTCCGCCCTCACGCTCGAGCAGGTGCGTTCCGCCCTCACGCTCGAGCAGGTGCGTTCCGCCCTCACGCTCGAGCAGGTGCGTTCCGCCCTCACGCTCGAGCAGGTGCGTTCCGCCCTCACGCTCGAGCAGGTGCGTTCCGCCCTCACGCTCGAGCAGGTGCGTTCCGCCCTCACGCTCGAGCAGGTGCGTTCCGCCCTCACGCTCGAGCAGGTGCGTTCCGCCCCTCACGCTCGAGCAGGTGCGTTCCGCCCTCACGCCTCGAGCAGGTGCGTTCCGCCCTCACGCTCGAGCAGGTGCGTTCCGCCCTCACGCTCGAGCAGGTGCGTTCCGCCCTCACCCTCGAGCAGGTGCGTTCCGCCCTCACCCTCGAGCAGTTGCGTTCCGCCCTCACCCTCGGGCAGGTGCGTTCCGCCCTCACCCTCGAGCAGTTGGAGCAGTGGTCCGCCCTCACCCTCGAGCAGGTGCGTTCCGCCCTCACCCTCGAGCAGGTGCGTTCCGCCCTCACGCTCGAGCAGGTGCGTTCCGCCCTCACGCTCGAGCAGGTGCGTTCCGCCCTCCAGTCAACCGCGCTGCCCTCCTCTCCATGCACCACACATTCTCTGCCCTCCAGGACACGCACTGCCCACGCTCACTCTAGTCACATCCTCTCGAAACTCCGCACTCACATCCAGTCTGCATTCACGCTAGCCACGTTCTGTTGAAGTGCTTTTGTCCGGCACTCATGCTCCATGCGCCCATCTGTCCCGCTCATGCTCGTAGCTGCCCGTGCCACGGACCCCCATCCTGTGCCACGGACCCCCATGCTGTGCCACGGACCCCCATGCTGTGCCATGGACCCCCCTCCTGTGCCACGGACCCCCATGCTGTGGCTAATGGATGGCTGTGCGTCCTTGCATGCTTGCTGCTTGCCATGTGCCGGAATCGCTCTCTCCACTGCTCGCTCCCGTGACTGCAGGTGAAGAAGAACTTTCTTACACAAGTGCCTGACCAATGACACTGCCCCCTCAACAGCCCTGGTCCTGTTACCCGTTCGTTGTCTCACTGTTACCTGATGATGCTAACAGGCAAATGATACCGTACACTTGTAGCTTAGCCTGATATATGTTCCATTCAAGTCTACAAGGCAGCAGAGTAGCCTTCAACTTTTTAGAGTGGATCAAGAGCAGCAAGATCAATAAGAGACGGAATGCATATAGGTATGAAGTCATGTGCCCTTTGCTGGAAACAATCGATCTTAAGCGCCTCTGTCGTGTCGAAACACTAAGGCACAAACGAAGCGAAGCATATCGAAGCACCGGCGAGTCAACCCTCGGAGGTTGAAAGCAACTGTTGGAGGTTACGCGAAAGCCAAAGGTCAGCGACCTTTGACCTGACAGAGTACAGCGCGACAGCAAGGACACACAACTGACTCGCTACAGAGCAGTTGCCCGAGTCGTCACTGTATCGAACCGCAACAGCAACAGTAAAACAGTTATAACTGTAACCCTTCATATTCCTTGTACTCTTATATATAATCTTGTATCTCTCTGTTTTAATTAATATACTTTGCCCTCACATACTAGCGCAAGGTGGTTCAATTACTTCATTAAAGCTTCCGCTATTACATCAGTCCTACCCAGAGTTCACCCCTGCAAAGATCCTAAGGGCTATTTTCTCAGCCCAACATGGTATGAGAGCTATCAGGGGGAATTCAACTATCAAGACACCTACAACATCAACAGGCATGGCTACACAAAAGGAAAGGAGCTCCTCCAACGGCTCCCAGGGCACTACTCCTACTCCACCTCCTGCCTCTGGTCTACAGACAGAGGAGGGTACGGCAACAAGACCCAGGGCAACATCCACCGAAACTCCCGCAAACCAAGCCGCGGGCTTCGACCCAAGTATGATGGAGAAGTTCTTCTCCTTCATGTCTTTCTACGAGCAACACCAGCAATCGGCACCTGCGCAGTCACATAATAGCAACAACAACGGAGCAACTCCCATGAGTCTCGACGGCTCATCATACGCACGAGGAAATCAACAGCAGCAGCCTACCTTTGCTCCGTATGAGCGCGGGTCCATTAGCTTTATGCCACACCCGCAGCCTTCACCTGGACAAGAAAAGCCACTGGACGCATTACAAGTTTAGTCGCAGTTCGCGCACGTTCTGAAGATGCAGACGTCAAGACCTTTCGATGGAAAGGATTTCTTCACCTGGTCGTTTGAATTCGAGTTAATGATGGAAGGCGCGCAGATACTTGGCTTCTTCGACGGGTCCCTGCAATACCCAACAAACGGCACACCGTATGAGAAGCAGCAGTACACCTATCAGTCGATGATGGCGTACACGATTCTACTGAGAAACATCACCCCGACTCAACAGCAGAATATACGGTCTTACCGGGGTTACGGCAACTCCGCGGAGCTCGCATACAACCACTTGAAGAGCCTGTATCAAGCAACAGACAGCGTAAATCAAAGTCGGTTAATGGCGCAACTGACAACGGTCGAAATGAAAACCAGGCGAGAAAGGAATGGCGTATATCAGCCGATGTCGCGAGTTGCGCGACAAGCTTCTTCGATGCGGAGGGTCGATATCTGAAGACGCCTTCGTGACAGTTATCATTGGCGGCCTCGGTCCTCAATGGCGCGCCACAAAGGCCATTCTCCGAGCCCATGGAAGAATCTCCGAAGCAGCGCTCTGCGCCGAAATCCACGCCGAGCACAAAGACATGGACCTGCAAGAAGAACGACACAAGAAGAAGACATTAGCACCGGAATTTGCATTTCACACTCAGCGACGCTACAACAACAACAAACAACAACAACCGAAGCCCGTACCTCCGTTCTGCCACATCTGCAAGACGTCAGGGCACCCGCGCACGCACTGCCCGAATCGACAACAGTCAACGCCTTCACAGCGACAGCTTCGACCTTCAAGCAATCAAGTCGCCTCAACACAAGCAAATCCCACGACCCAGATTAAAGCCTCAACGACCTCAACAGGACAACCTGCACAAGGAGCAAGGAACATCGTCAGTTGCATGGCAAGACTGAGCAACTCTTGCATCACGGGATCACCACCGTACTACTCACCGGAAGAACAACTCGACGACACCACACCTCACCGCGATTCACTCCAGCCGAATCCGACATACGCAGCCATCGCCCAAAGCGAACCATCCGGAAAGGACACGTGGTTCTTGGACAGTTGCTGCGGACAACACATGTGTTCTTCAGGACGCTTCGTGCAACGAGAGAACCAACTCCAACGCGAAGTAGTCATCACCGTTGCCAACAACGAAAGCCTGCGCACACGACGACAAGGAATCGTTCAACTTCAGTCACGAGAGACAAATGTCATACTACAAATGTCCAAGGTCTTAATCGCAGAAGGCCTCGGCTACAACTTACTCAGCGTTAGCCAACTGATGGCTAAAGGTATCCACCTTGAAGCAGACAGCACCACTCAGGAGTTCAAGCTGTACCACGGGAAGGGCGGTCTCTACATCGGAAAGGCGATCCTGAAAAATAACGTCTTCGTTCTTGATTTTTGTTCCAGATCTCGGCACAGCAGACAGCGGCGGCATCGTCACCTTCACTTCCTGGACCCACCCTCTAGACCTTGATCCAGACTTCAGCCCCGGCGGCTTCTGGTATTCACACACCATCCCTGAGGCAGAAAGAACAAGGGCGTTAGCAACAATTCAAACAACATCGGCAGCAGCAGAGACAACAGCAGAGACAACATCGGCAGCAACAGAGACAACATCGGCAGCAGCAGAGACAACATCGGCAGCAGCAGAGACAACATCGGCAGCAGCAGAGACAACATCGGCAGCAGCAGAAACAACATCGGCAGCAGCAGGAACGTCAACGCCAGTCGCTGGTCCTTCAACGGCACCACTCCTCGTAAACGACACACCACCGACACCCGCGCAACAACTACACCCAGCACCACGAGAAGTTCATCGAAGCACCAACTTCACCGCCAGCTTCTATTCCAACTCTGATATGTATCGGCGCTCACCCGGACATCGCGCCACCGAAGGAACCTGGCACGCAAGAATGGGACATCCAAGCAACACGGTGTTAAACAACACGATAAGAGCAGGTGTGCTCGATAAAGACTCTCTACTCCTAACTGACGGCAGAGAACTTCAGCGAGCTCGAGGAACATGCTTCACCTGTCCCGAAGCTGACTTACCACATCAACCGTTCGCGTCTCACCACAATGTCAAACATTGTATGTTTACATTGTGTAGGCTATAGTGGGTTTAGCCTTAGGGGGTACACAAACTTAGGGTTTCCTACTTGTACCCAACTTTGTGCTAGTTCATTCATTCCTGTTTCGTTCTTTCTTACATGGTTTCAGAGCAGGTCCTCCGCTAGGACCGATTTTTTAGGGCCCACCACTGCTGACTGCCTACTAGCGCCCTCGTGCGCCCTACTGTCGGAGCGCCCTCGAGCGTCTCCCCTAGTGCCCTCGTGCGCCCCTCTTTAACGGCCCCGTAAGGCCCCGCGACCCGCGACCCGCCCCTTAGCGACCCGCGCGCCGCCCCTTAGAGGCCCCTCTCACGGCCGCGTCGACCCCGCGCGCAGCCCCTTAGAGGCCCCGTCGGCCCCGTCGACCCCGCGCGCGCCCCACCTAGCGGCCCCGTCGGCCCCGTCGACCCTGTGCGCGCCCCCCTTAGCGGCCCCGTCGGCCCCGTCGACCCCACTCGCCGCCCCTTAGCGGCCCACCACACGGCCCCGTCGACCCCGCGCGCAGCCCCTTAGAGGCCCCGTCGGCCCCGTCGACCTCGCGCGCGCCCCACCTAGCGGCCCCGTTGGCCCCGTCGACCCCCGTGCGCGCCCCCATTAGCGGCCCCGTCGGCCCCGTCGACCCCACGCGCCGCCCCTTAGCGCCACGCACAGCAGCCCCAGCAGCCCCGCACGCGACAGCCACGGCCCCGCCAGAACCGAGCCGCCCGAACCGAGCCGCCCGAACCGAGCCGCCCAGCCCGAGCCGAGCCGCGCCGCCCTCCCCGTACTGAGCAGCCCTCTCTGGACCGAGCCGCCCTACCTGAGTCGCGCTGCCTGCTGCTTTTAGGGTTTCGCCTGCTGTTACTACTGCTACTGTTCCTGCTGTTACTACTGCTCTTACTGCAACTATGGCTAGCCCTGCTGTACTCGCTTTCGATGCTGAGGGCCGCCCACTGAAGTTTGACACCTGGCTAGATGACTTGCACCTGTTCCTCCAGCTCACTGCCAAGGAGGACATCTCGCTGTACGATCACGCGCTAGGCAATGCTGCTGCCCCTGCTGTTACTGCTGACAGTACTGCTCGCTCCCAGTGGCAGACTCGTGACGCCCACGCTTGCTTTGCTATTCGCAACTCCCTGCCGGTAGATGAGCGCGAGCACTTTGGCCAGCACAAAACTGCGCAGGCACTGTACACTGCTGTAGTTGCACGCTACTCCTCACCTGCCTCTGCTGCGCTAGGCCGTCTCTCGCTCCCCTACCTGTTCCCAGACCTGTCCGCTTTCGCCACAGTAGCTGACCTCACCACGCACCTCCGCACTAGTGAGGCTCGCTTCCGTGCCGCTATGCCCGCTGAGTTTCTTGCCACCCACCCCCCCCCGCTCTGGCTCACTCTCTACCACCTTGTCACCCGTCTCCCTGACTCTCTTCGTGCGGTCAGGGACCACTTCCTCGCTCGCTGCCCCACTGAGCTCAC